GATGCAGCTAGGAACCAGATCCCACCATCCAGGACCTCCAGCCTTGAGCCCCTACAGAGGCTGTGTGGGGTTAGCTGGCCATGGACAGCACCCTTCCCCTGGGCACTCTTGGGGCCCTTTGTGGTGAGGGAGGAGCAGGGATGGGAAAATGTGACGCCAGCATCCTCGGCTCCCTTCCCAATTCCTCCCCTGGGCCCCGACTGACCCCGCAGCTGTGCCCTCCTTCCATCCATCTCACACCCTCTCCCAGCCCAGCCAGAATCCTTTGACACAGGCTCCAGCTTTGCCCATGGGCCTGGCAGTATGCCCTGCCTCACTTCCCCCACCCCATTACTCACAAGATCCCCACACAGTTCCTTTCAGTCCCTGGGGAAGCTAGGAGGAGGCTGGGGGCCGGAAATGGGAAAAGCCCCGCTTTTGCCAAGTGGCCCATTCTCCAGCTCAGTGAATAGGGACCTTCACAGCCCCTCGCTCTTGGCTGGAACTCTCAACAGGAAGGTAAAGTGGAAACTGTGCCAAGAGCTGCAGGAGGGAGGAGGGTAAAGAAAGGAGGAAGTGAGGGCTGTGAAATGGATGGGCCCACTTTCCCAACCGAACCATCCATGGGGGTCACAGGCTTAGGCAAGGAGCAGCCAGAGGGAGGAGGAGCCCAACACTGCCTCTTCCCAGAGCTTGCCTCTTAGCCTCCACAAGGCCTCCGCCCTCTGACCTGCTTTAGCTCTTTTCCACTGCAGTCCATCAACCTCCTCGAACATCTGAGGGACCTCCCAACCTTTTTTACCCTTCTGGTTCAGGCCTTCAATGTCTCTTGCCTGACTCTTGTAATAACCTTCTAACTCATCCTCCTACCTCATTTTCTCCCTACTTCCACCTCCACCTTTACCCCATATCACCTTCTGGATCCCAGGGCTACTCTCCAATGCATACAGGAAACGCCAGACTCCTTAGCATGATATCCACAGTGTGTCCTCGACAGCTCTTTCAGCACTGTGGCCCACCCTTTCTCTGCATTATGCTCTATGTTCTCGGCAAACTCCAGCTGGTCTTCAGACATCCCATCACTACGGCCTCTGGACCTTTTGTCATGTCGTTTCAACATCTGCCTGGATTGCTGTTCTCCTGTGCGTGTCCCTATTTATCCCTCGAAGTCTAGTTCAAATGCAACCTCTTCCATGACATGAAGCTTTCTCTAATCTCCCACTTGGAGTTTATGTCTCCCTCTCAGAGCACTGAACCCGGGCTTGTTATATACCCCGACTCCTCTATTTCTGCCCCACAGGTCTGCATACATGTACTGCTTGAGAACATAAGCTCTGCCATCAGACTGGCGGGGTCTGAATCCTGGCTCCTCCGCTTCCCAGCTCTATGACTTTGGCCAAGTGACTTAAGCTTCCCATGTTTTTATTGACTCATTCACGAAATGAGAACAGTGAAAGTACAACTTCTTAGTGTTGTTTTGGCAATTAAATGACATCATAAATTATATGCCTGGCATATCAATGTTAATATCAATTTAAGTTATCGTATCTCCTATTAAACTGTTTCCTGAAGACAGGATCTGTCTATGTTTGTAACGATAGTGCCAGTTGCCAGTAAATGCCTTAAACGCAGTATAAACTCAATAAGCATGTTCTGTGTATGAATAACTCTTATGCAAACCTGTCTGATAATCCGCCATCAACAGTTTATCGAGTGCTTATGACACATCGGATACTGTGCTATGTGTGAAAGACATATAGTTGGACAGACATTTAAATTGTCATTTAATCTTTACAGTAGCTGTATACAGTAGGTATTTAAAAAAAACCCATTTTAGAGATGAGAAAACCAAGGCGCAGGAGGTTAAGTAATAGGTGAAGGTCACACAGAGCAAGCGCTTGAGTTGAAGTTGGCCTCACCCCAAATCTTATACTCCACATTCTTCCCATTGACCACACTGTCAACCAGTCACACAGTCACCTTTCCCCAGTGTTAAACATCAAGGAAGATGCATTATAAGATCTTTTGCAAAAGTTTTTTTCTGGCTTAGGAAATTTGCCCTTTTGCCCCAAAATCTGTAGGCTGTTCCTACTGTATCTTCTCCACCTCCTACTTTTCTTCTCCTTATTTTGCCTGTAGGCCTTGGTCCTTGCCCATTTGCCAGAAGCCCCTGAACTCGTGGCCACTAAAAGCTAGAGAACTGCTTCCCCTTGCCTGAGCTAGGACAGACATTCCCAGAGATGGCCTCCGTCAACCTCTCCCTCCTCCAGGAAGTCTTCCCAACCTGGCTGTACTTCATTAGCTCCGATCACTCAGCCTTTACACATTCTATTTGTTCTACACTGGTCTGAACTCATGGGGGATGCCCTGTGAGCATCTTATATCTGCCTCGTCCATGTGCCTGTGCCTACTCCATTTACTGGCAGCCCACAAGGGAGCTGTGTGTATGGAACAGCTGGTCCCAAGGTTTGTGTTCAGGCAGGGCCCCTCTTTGACGGCTGGAGGGAGAAAAGAGATGTGTTCCCCGCTGAGCTGTTGCAGCCCCAACCCCTCATTCTAATGAAGAAGTGTGTCAGCTGCTGCTACTTCTCCTGCCACATTTCATCCCTGAAACCTGATCCCCTTCCCCTTCTAGGCAGAAGAACAGGGCCAGCTCTCTAGTTATCAACTAATTGAGCCAGGATCCCCAAACCCTCAGCCTTCTCCCAGTGCTCACTTGCTACAATGAAATTTTCTGCTTCAGGGAATTGGGAAGTTCCACTACTTGGGGTTTTCAGGAATACACTCTTCTTGTCTAGAAGTTTTGGGCCAAGGACAGGGATGCAGGAGCGGAGCATAAAACACCCTTGACAATGATACTTTCACAACCTGTTAATGTTTCCTTTTCCAGCAGTTTATCCCACAGTGTCTGCAGAATGTTTGATTCTTGAAAGACATTTACTGAAATAAATGAATACAGAACTTGACCAGTATTACATAAGGCCATCCCTGTGTGCACACCAACATAGGGCAGAGCCAGGCAACACAATGTCCCCCAGGGTGGCAAGGGAGATCCTGCCTGGGATGGGTCATCTGCAGTGCAAAAGCACCTACCCCCTACCCCCCCACCACACACCAAGCCACAAGTAAACTGCATTGAATTCAGTCCCTACTGTCCCTGGGCAAGGCAGCCAAAGGGCTGACCCTGGGCTAACTCAGCTCTACTTTTTTCCCCTTTGCTACTGTTGGAATACTAAAGCACTGAGATTTGGCCTGGCTACCTAAGCACTGAACTGAGGTGTCTGGGTGTGAGTGAGACTCTACCAGCTCTGTCTGTCCCTCTGCTCTGTCTCCTGTCTGAGCAGGCTGGCATCGGGGAGGGGGCGGAGCACCATGGGGGGGTAGTGCAGAGCTCTCCCATCTGAGTGTCATTCTGGGACCCAGGCCAGGCATTTGGCTTCCTCTCCAAGAGAGTCAAAGGCTGAAGCTGCTCAGACAAAGGGCCAAATAAAAGCTAATGGGGCATTCAGTGACTTCAGCCTCTCCCTTTCCTCCTCCCAGGCATTGGGGTCTCAAGTCCTTGGCAGGAGAGGGTGCAAATCAAGATGTGAAGCTCAGCTCAGTGCAAATTCCCATTTGCCTTTTTTATTCTCCTGGCATCCATAGTCTCTGTCTTCCTCCCCTCACCACCTCCCACCTAGAGTGCTGTAAAAAATGCAAATCAGTAGGATTTAAAAATTCGAGCCCATGCCAGGAACACCCACAAACCCTCCATTAAGGCAGATTCTGAGGTGGGTGGTGTGGTCCCCAGTTTGAAGCACAAGGAGGAGGATTCTATTAGATTCTTTTTCTCAGAATGGGTCTTGGACCTCAGACATTATCTGTGATGACCTTAACCTTTCTGGTATTTCACACATAAAAGAAAAAAAATGAGAATTGTGCACGTGTGGGCTGGGGCCAGCCATCCCAAGCTGGCATGAGAAGCATGTGAAAACGACTATGGGAAGGGGCATGGTGTGAGTCCAGAAGAAGAGCAATGAATACTGTCGTCTCTCAAGAAGTGTTTCTCTGAGTCAGTAGCTTTTGTATCTGAGTGTCACCACAGAAAGGGCTCCAGGAGGAAGGACTAGAGAAATGATCGTTAATATGAGCAGGCAGACCCTGGAGTAGAATCGACAGGAAGAGTGGCAGGGTGACTTGGTCAGGAAGCATCAATGAGAACACCTGCAGTTTCTAACTCTGCCCCCCACCCCCAGAGCTGGCCCCTAATACACTGCCAAGTTCCTTCCAAAGCAGGAAGACTGTAGCCTTTGCAGGCAGGAGTGGGAAAGGCTGCACGGAATCTGGAGAGCCATGAGCTGGCCCTTTCTAGACCCAGGTCTGCTGTTGGGTGGCCTGGTTGCCCCTGGCTCTGGAAAGTAAGAAGAAAGAGGAGAGCTGAAAAGTGAGACAGCGAAGTCGACTCCAAGAGAGACAAACTAAAAGAGACAAAAAGAGACGAAGGCAAAGACAGAACAGAGAGGCTGGTGGAAGGAGAGATGGGCAAAGCAGAGATGGGGGTGTATGTGCATAATATCTGCCTGAATTCCGGTGGGTGAAAAAATAAGAAAGGTGGCAGGTGGCGTGGAGGCGGGAGCAGTGGTATATGAAGCCAGTGAGAATCAACTTGGCTCTCCCTAACATAGCTTTAGCGGACGCCCCCCCCCCCCGCCCAGTTCGGTGATTTCCCCCTCCAGACTGGGATACTTCTCCCACTCCCTGCACCCCGGGGCCTCCGAACGCTCCCTGCGCACTCCCCAAGCCCAGAGCTGACATCTGGCTGGGCCTCCGCAGCTCCCCTCGCGACCTGCCAGGCAGAGCCCCTCCTCCAGCGCAGGGCCTTCCCCCGTGTTTCCAGCTGCCAGCCCCCTCCCTGCTGGCAGACAAGCCCGGGCAGACAGCCGGCCAAGCCTGCCCCCGCAGCCGCGACAGCTCTGCCAAGCCCGGCAGAGCTGGGGGCCCAGGGCGGTACCGGCTCCCTTCGAGCGAACGGTCCCGCTGACCTCTTGCCCGGGCAGGGATCAGGCCCCAGCACCCTCCTCCCGCTCGCGCCGCGCCCGCCGGCCGCGCTCCCGGCCGTCCCGCGCAGCCCTGCACCCAGGCGCTCGCGTCCCGCTCCCCAGGCCTTCGCTCCCGTGCTTTCCACGTCTGCGGCGCCGAAGTCCCGCTCCGTCCGTGCGCCGGGCCGTCTCTGGGCGTGCCCTGTGTTCTCCCTGGGGTTCTCTGTGTCACATTTCGGCCTGGTTGGCTTGCTCCCTCTGTCTCTCTGTCACTTGTTCTTGTCTCATCACAAATCTTTACTCAAAGTTTCTTCGTGACCCCTTTCCTGAGGACAAACCCTGCCCTCTGTCTGTCGGCCCGCGCCCTCTCCTCTGTTCTCCAGCCCTCTTCACGTCCCGGCTCCCCGGGGGCCAGGTGCCCGTCGGGGCGGAGCAGCCCTCCCTGCCCCGGCGCTAGCTTCGCTCTTACCAGCTCCTGTTTGAGGCGACGCAAATAGCAGTCCATTTCCCTGCTCTCCATCGTCATGCGCCCATTTGTCGGGCTCGGTTCAAAGAGACAGTGCCCTGGTGGGACCCCGGCCCCACTGGAAACTGCGCGCCGGGCCAGCTCCCCGCCCCTGCGCCCGCACCTCTCGCCGCACGGAGCTGAGCCTGCGCTGCGAGCTCGGGACTTAGAGCCGCTTCCCCCGCGGCTTGCCGCGCGCGGTCGGTGCTGGGGGCGGAGGGAAAAGTGGGACAGCCAATGAGAATTCAGGGGGGCTGTCTTCAGCCAATGAGAAGGGCGGCCGGGGGGCCGGGCTGGGCGGCCGCTGCGGACCCCACCGCGGTGTTTGCACCGGACTCCGGCACAGCTACCCGGGATGGCGGGGAGACACCTGGACCTAGCCTGCGCGGCGGAGGGCATCGTGACTCCAGGCCCCAACGAAGCACGTGACCCTCGTGTGGTCAAAAAGGAAGAGCACAGTTCTACGGGGAGGGACTGGGTAGCGTTCTCAGTAAGAGGCAGAGTGCCATAGTGTCGGTCCCTTTTCCCAAACTCCAATCTGGAAGGAAATACCCCCACCCCTCCGCTCCCATCCCCAGAAGCCCCTCTGAAGCTCTTTTTTTTCCGGAAGAGGACCCTGGGAATGTGGCTCCCGCCCCACTCCTAGAGTGAGGTCCTCGCGGCCCTTCCCTCGCCGGCGGAGCAGAGACGCCGCTGCCTGACCGGTTCACCTTTGTCACACAAAGCCGCCGAGGGTCGGCTGCGCCCCTAAATCTCTGATAGGCGAGATCCCTGCTCTCAAGAACTTACGTGGGGGAGAAGGGGAGGCGAGACAAACAGGTAAACACACACACACCGTAAGCACGGTAATTTCAGACAATGATCTTTATGAAAACCTGAAACAGGGTAATGGGGTAGGGCTGCTTTCCCGGGGGCCTTCAGTGGGGTGGGCAGGGAGCAAGCCTTTCTTTCCCCAGGGCTCAACGTCAATCATCCTACCTGACGCTCTGGCCTTTGGCTAAGCTCTAAGGCTGGGGAAGATGCTCGGATTTTATTTACAGGAACTGTGGGAGCGCCAGCCCGGCCCTGGAGGAGGGAGTTGCGGCCGATGTTCTCGAGAGGGGCGCAGTCCGGCGGGGTTGCTCCTCCCAGTCCAGCCCTGGACGCCGGGCTCCACGCCCGCCAGCGCTGCTCCTTCCCAGCCCGGAGACTCCGCCCGGCCCGGCCAGCCGGGGACTGTGGCGCAGAGCACAGAGAGTAATTAAGCAATTAGCGACATGTTGTTCCAAGGTAATTAACGGGGAAAAGTTTGCCCCAGGCAGCATTTGCGATCTCTGAGCGGAACAATTGTAGGAACACCCGAGAAGGCACGAAAGGTGCCGGCGCCACGATCCGGTCCGTCCGAGGCAGCCAAGAGCGCCAGATCTGCTAACTATTGAAAGACGCGCTGGCTGCTCTTGCCTGTAATCCCAGCACTTTGGGAGGCTGTGGCGGGTGGATCACTTGAGGTCAGGAGTTCGAGACCAGCCTGACCAACATGGCGAAACCCCCGTCTCTACTTAAAATACATAATTATTTGTATTTTTATTATTTGCTGGGCCTGGCGGCCTAAGCCTGTAATCCCGGCTACTTGGGAGGCTGAAGCAAGAGAATTGCATGGACGCAGGAGGCAGAGTTTGCAGTCAGCCGAGATTGTGCCACTGCACTCCAGCCTGGGTGACAGAGCAAGACTCTATCTCAAAAAAAAAGACTGGGAGAGGAGGAGGAGAGGGCTAAACACAGAGACACAGAGACATGGCATGGGGAAGGAGGAGGGACAAAGATGGAGGGGAAGAGAGGGAAGGTGAGAAAGAATGAATCTTTAGAAGAGTTTGCAGAGTCCAGTTGAAAGGCCTCCACTTAACAACACCAGGTCCTCAATTATAAAAGACCTCTTGCCCACACCTTTCGGCCTAGCCCCAAGTGTCCCTCTGGCTGAAGCTGGGGCAGCTGTAGTCAATGGACACAGAAAAGAAAAGGAGGCAGAGGATGGGCTGAAGGTGGTTGCTGGACGAGCCCAGGCAACTCTGGCCCTACCACTTTGAGCAGCATTGGCCCTCCTGCCTGTTCTGCAGCTGTGGGCAGGAATTCTCCAAGAGATCCCTTTCTGTGGGACCCACCAAATGTTCAGAGTGAGAGCCACTCCCAAGGATGGAGCTGGGGTTTCCAGCCCAGCTGAAGAAGTTCTGCAGTTGAATACTATGGACTGAGACAGAAGAGACCCAGCATTGACATGTAGTCAATGGGGGGCCTTCAATGGGGCCAAACATCACAAAAGGGTTCCCCAACTCAAAGAGCCTTGCTTTGCTCCATCTCCAGTCTTCAGCATGGTAGCTGGATATAAAAACCTCTGAGTCAACGTTTCTGGATCTGTGGCTGAAATAGTCTTTTTTTTTTTTTTTTTGAGACAGTCTCACTCCCAGGCTGGAGTGCAGTGGTGCAATCTTGGCTCACTGGAACCTCTGCCTCCCAGGTTCAAGCGATTCTCGTGCCTCAGCCTCCCAAGTAGCTGGGATTACCAGCACCTGCCATCACACATGGCTAATTTTTGTATTTTTAGTAGAGATGGGGTTTCAGCATGTTGGCCAGGCTGGTCTCAAACTCCTGACCTCAGGTGATCTGCCTGCCTTCGCCTCCCAAAGTGCTGGGATTACAGGCATGAGCCACCATCCTGGGCCTGCTGAAATAGTCTTCAGGGTCAAATTTCAGCCCCAGTTTTCTCCATCTCTGAGACTTTGTAGGCTGGAATCCACTTGGAAGTTAGGAGGCTGGCGAGGGTTGAAAATCCAAAAGAAGCGGGCTGATCTCTTGGCAAGAACCTAGGACTGGGTGGTTAGGTCTTCTGTGCTGCTGACAACAGGTATAATCTTGCACCAATGCTTTGTTTTTACTGGGCCTCAGTTTCCCCTGCTTATGGGTTTAAACCTTTGTGAGTCTAACACTTTATACCCCTTACAAAACTCTCTTCTAAAAACTAACTGTGAAGTAGTCATGAGCAGGGGATGTTTACCCATCTCACAGATGAAGAATGTATTGTTAGCAAAGCCAGCTCACATTCCATCCATTTTCAGGTAGAGGGAGATAGCAAGAAAACAAACTGATAATCAGAATCTCAGTGCAGAGCTCAGAGCTCAAAAGAGAGGTTTTAGACAAGTCTGAGGTGTGGTTCCCTCTGTCTGGTTTCCCACAAGACTTTGGGGGACAATTGAGGTCTAACTCTGAAGTCCTTTCATGGTGCTGGACCATTGCAGCTTACCTGCTCCCTTGCTATTAAGAAGGCCAGTGTTACCCTAGAAGTGTGTAAAGGGGTCTCTCTCTTACCTTGTTTCTGAAGAGGTAACTCTCATCTGGGCAGAGCAGGCGGCAAAAGTAGGAAAAATAGCTGCCTTCTGCTTTTCTTTTTAAAAAAAGGATTTAAGTGATAGAGAATAAAGCCTGTTGCCATGGTTTATAAACATGGATAAATATTTCTGGGCTGAGAATGGGGGCTGGGGGACATGATTCATTTTTGCTGAAGAGGAATCAGATGGCTCAGCCTCCTCCCTTCCACCCCACTCCAAAACTCAGCCTGGAGGATGAGATTATCTCATTTTAAAATAAATAATAAAGAAATCAAAGGTCTTGAGACTGGTTGTGAACATACTTTTGCAAAGCTGTTCAGAGCTGGGGTGGAACCCTCAGAAGGTACATGGCCATTTGCCTTCCACTGATGGGCACTTTACCTGACAGACGGGGTGCAGCTCCTGGAAACTGTGTCCAATGCTGTCAGCTCTTAGGACTTGACTGCCTCGCGTAGGCAGGGAGGGTGGTCCCCTTTGTCCCACTACCAGAGCCTATAGCTCCTGGCACCTATCAATGAGCTCAAACGAAGAGGCAGAACCAGTTGGGTCCCAAGGGAGCTCAGACCCTACATTAAATAATGGAAACACCATCATTCTCCTGGCTTCAGATCCTGTGGCCCCTGCCTAGAAGTCCCTATCTACCAGGTCCTAGCCAGCTCTGGAAGACATACCCCTGAGTAAGGCAGTGTCCAGCTTCTCATCTCTACTGGCAACACTCTCTCTCCTTGCACCAGGATGTGCTTCCCAATAGCTGGGGAGCACATCCTGGTGCAAGGAGAGAGAGAGATGTGGTCACATGCAGTCTGGAAACCTCATCATAATATCACCCCCCAAGGGCAGGGGCCCTATCCCCAGTGCCCTCATTCCTCGCCCCCTGTGGCTGCCAACAACTATTATCCCAATCCCGTCACCCACCACACACTGCCTGATCATCAACAGGAAAGGCGGACCCTAGAGATAAACACATGCTGTTGGAATGTATTCAGATATCACTGCTGAACTGTTTCTCTCTAGGGAGAGGACCTTGCCTGACAGGCTGGCCCAGAGGTGCTGAGCAGAGACTGTGTACGTGTCTGTGTGGGAACACACGGGGTTGGTAGGGGAGGAACTGGACTGAGGCCCGGCTATTCTTGAAAGAATCCCACCCCTAACTTTCATGACATCTTCCTTTGTCCACCTTAGAGCACTGGGTCCTCCTACCCTTATGATTCCAGTACCCGGAGACACGGAAGAGAGGATAAAGTGGCCTGTGTGTTGGGGAACCCTCTCAGTTCCAAAAGAAACAATCACTTTGGGTTTTAATTTAAAAACCTTTGGACTGGGTGGAGGAATCAAAGACTGTAGTCATGAAAAGCTCCATGAACTTTGGGTGCCTTCAGACAAAGGCTGTCATTCTCTTACAGATGGAGAAACTAAACCCAAGAAGGTTGTTCTGTACGGGGATGGAATGGGGTCTCCCAGTTTTCAGCATAGCACTCGTTCTGCTATTCTACACTTCAGAAAGCAGGAGGGATACGCTCTTAAGGTGGATTACTGAAATGATGAAAGCCACTGAGGAAGTGAGTTCTGATGTTCCGCATCCACAGAA